ATCATTGTTTATATATTCTTTATCTCACATACCTTGATTATGTGAGAATAGTACATTCTTTCTCTTCATTCTTCCCTGTTATCTCTTTTGCCTCCCTTTTCTTTCTTTGCAAGACCATCAAAATAGTACAACACTTTCCCCCTCCTTCACGGGTACTCATTTGTCTTATTTTAATTCCTTATGTGAGCTTGGATCACCTTATGATTATGACGGAGCACATATTTTTATTTTTCCCCATTAGAATGTAAGTACTTCATCATATAGCCCCTTCCAAATACTCAAATGTATTCACCTTTCTAATTTTTTCTTTAATTTCTGTGTTTGCATTTCATTATTTCTACTCAGTTCTCTTCTTTTAACAGGAATACTTTAAAGTTCACTGTTCCAATTTTTTACCTGTAGGATTTTACTGTTTTTCAGGGTAAGTTATCTTTAAGTGCAAGTCTTGTATGTTTTGTACTTTAGAGTATCATATTCCCAGCTCTTTTGTTCTTTAAAGTGGTAACTACCAAATCTTGTGAATTTTGACTGTGATTCTTTTGTACTTGAATTTTTTTCTCTCTGTCTCCTTGCGGTATTTTTTCGTTAACCTGGAATCTCTGGATTTTGGCTATGACATTCCTTGGAGTTTTCATTTGAGGGTTTCAGAAGGTAACAGGTGTTGATTCTCTTTCTCTGTGTATATATGTATATGTATATACATATATGTGTATACGCAGACATGTACATGCACACACATGTGTGCGAATATGCACATACACATGTATACACATCCATATACATACACACGTGCATACATGCATTTTTTATGTACATAAAATATGTGAATAAATGTAAGTAGGGGTGTGTGTATACACATACACACACACACACACACGTATATATACACTTTATATTTTCTTCCTGTTTTTCTGTATTTTGATTTTGTTCTAATATTTTTTATTGTCTCATTGAGTCATTGTTTTTTGTTTTGTTCGTTCTACTGTTTCTAGTTTTATAAAATACTCTTTGCAAGTTATATTGGTATGGCATTCAATATGTACATTAACTTAGGTAGTATTGCCATTTCTATTACATTGGGACAGCCTAACCATAAGTGTTTATTTTCCCTCCAATTATTTAGGTTTCTGTTTCTGTAGAGTGCTTTTATAGTTGTATTCATATACCTTCTATTCATGATTTGATAGGTGGATTACCAGGTATTTTATACATTGGATGTAATTTCCTTTTCAATTTCTTTCTGTTGGGTTTTGTTGGAAATATGTAGAGAGGCTAAAGTGTAAAGAGTAATTTTTTTTCTTTTTGTCTTTATTCCCTCAATTTCTTCTTCTTTTCTTATTATAGATAGCGTTTCTAGACTGTTAAATAGTGATGGTGACAATGTACATCTTTGCTTTTATCCGTGGTCTTATTGGAAACATTCCCAGTGTTTCTGTATTACAGATAATCTTAGCTTTTGCATAGAAACTATTTACCTTAATAAGAAACAATTTATTCCTATTTTCTTTAATATTTTAAACATAAAAACATGTTATATTTCTCATTTTTTTCCCTATATCTGTTGATATAATCATGTAATTTTGAAGTTTGTTAATCATTTATTCTATATTATTTATAATTTCTTAATATGGAACCAACCTTGCCTTCCTGGTATAAATCTTACCACATCATAGTATATAATGTTATAAATTCTTTGCTAGTATTAGATTCAGTGTTGTTGCAAAGTTTTGTTTCTCTGCTTTATCTCTTCCTGGTTTAGGTTTCGGGACCATATTTTTCTTAGGGACAGAGTTTAATGGGATGTTACCTTTCTCTTTTTTTTTTCTTGCAAACAATTTATGTAAAATTGGAGTTAATTGTACTCCCTGGTAGGTTTCTGGATTGAAGAGGCCACAGTTGGGTGGCCTAGGTGGGGGCTATTGCAAAACTTCCTGGGAAGTATTTAGAGTTAAGGGCTAAGGGCCTCATTCTAGGGATCTGGGTCTGGGTTTGACATTGGGCTCCAGGGGAAATCTCAGAGGGTAAAAGAGACCATAGGAGGGTAGCCTGGTCTAAGCCTTTTTTTGGGGGGAAGTTTTAAGACTGAAGATAAGAGTGAATCTGAAACTGATGCAGGGTTTCATGATGGTAGGTCCCACCATCTGCCCCAATTCCTGACTTCCAGTGGGCTCTGGTTACATTGAACTTTATTTTTAAAAAATGTAACTTTTCTTTTACTTTTTTTTTTTTAGTTACCCAAAATTTATTTTCTTTCCCTCCTATATCCCCTTACTGGAAAAAAAAAAACACACCAAAAAACCAAACCTAAAACCCTTGTGACAAATATTCATACTTAAGCAAAACAAATTCTAATGTTTCCCGTGTTTGAAAATGTCTCATTCTTTACCTTAAGTCTTGCTACCTCAATGTACAATTCATTATCTTTCCTCTGGAATTATGATTGGTTATTGAATTGATGAAAATTCTTAAGTCTGTCACTACAGTGTTGTTATTGTATGAATTATTGTCTTATTTTGCTCACTTTGCATCAGTTTATACAAGTCTTCACAAGATTCTTTGAAAAATGTGCCTTTCATCATTTCTTATAACATAATATTCTATTACATTCATATGCCATAATGTGTTTAGCCATTCCCTAATAAGTGATCACCCCATAGTTAGCTCTTTGCCACCACAAAAAGAACTAACTGTACATATTTTTATCCATATGGGTCCTTTCGTTCTTTCTTTGATTTCTTTGGGATACAATGCTAGTTAGTGGTATTGATGAGCCAAGTGGTATTCATAATTTGGTGACATTTAGGGGATAGTTCTAAATTGCTTTCCAGAATGGCTAGACTAATTAAAGCTTCAGTGGTGCATTATGTACCTGTGTTCCCATAACCTCTTCAGCATTTGCCATTTTCCTCTTTATCTTCTTTTCCAGTCTGATGATGATAGTGATAATAGCAAGCATTTATTTAGTGCTTTAAGGTTTGCAAAGCTCTTTACAAATATCTCATTTGATTCTCACCATGATGCTGGGAGGTAGGTTCAATTATTATCCCCATTTTACAGATGAAAAAACTCAGGTACACAGAGGTCACTAGGAAAACTGGAAGCTGGATTTTAACTTAATTTTTCTTGACTCTAGGTTCAGTATTCTATCCAGTATGCCGTTTGGTTACCTCTGGTGGGTGTCATGGAAACTCAAAGTTGCTTTAACGTTCATTTCTTTAATTATTAGTGATTTGGAGCATTTTTTTTTATAGCTTACATATCTTGAATGAGCCCTTTATAAGATAAATTTTCTGCAAAGACACATTTTTCAATTAACTGTTTCCCTTCTAATTATGACTGCATTGGTTTTGTTTGTACAAAATCTTAATTTTATGTAATCAGTCAGAATTTTCCATTTTATCTTCTTGGCCCTCTCTGTCCTTTGTTTGGTCATGAACTCTTTTCCTGTCCATAGAAATTTCTTCCTTGCTCCTCTGATTTGTTTAGGATGTAACCTTTTAGGTTTGTTTAGGATGTATCTAAGTCACATATTTATTTGGAGCTCAACCTGGTATGTTGTGTGAGGTGTTGGTCCAGACCTAATTTCTGCTCATCTACTTTACAGTTTTCCTAGCCGTTTTTGTCTTTACATTTCCCTAGTTTGCCAGCACCAAATCAGTTTTATGATTGCTGCTTTGTAGCATACTGGATCTGTGTTCATTTCCTTGTGTGGACTGTTATCTGGGAGTTTATTTTGTCTCCATTTCCTTTCGCCTCTGTACACCTTAGGGCACTGGTACCAAGGTGCTGAGTTGGTTCTGTTTACTGCCGTGGTTCACAGTGTCCCAAGAAGTGCACGTGGCTGCCTTCCAGTACTGTGATCTATGTGGGCTGGTTCTGTCTCTGCCTCTCTTCTGACAGGCGAGGGTCACACCTGGCTTCAGGTCCCTGGAAGAATCAAGCCTTTGAACTGCCAGCTCAGAATGATGGCTGACTAGCTTCAGGGCCATTTGTGGACACTTCAGTTCTTTTCCCTTTTACAGTCCTTTTCTCTAGTTCTGCTGGCATCTGGCCTTTTTTATCAGACTGCTTTCCTTGGCAAGATTCTTCTCCTCACCTCCATCATCTTCCAAGTTTACCTGTGCTCATGCTGACTTCCCTGATGACCCCCTTCTTCACCACTCTACCAGCTTCTGACCATTTTTTTTTTTTACAATTCTGGACTAGGTGGAGTAATTTAATTCTCTTCCTCTCTCCCCTTCTCTCTCTCTCTCTCTCTTTGTCTCTGTGTCTTTTTCTCTATATCAGTTTTCTTTATCATTGATCTTTTTTGGTTTGTTATCAGTTCAGATGTTGGGTTTTAAGTGGAAAAATGAGACTTTTCTATGCCCTTTCACATTGCCTTATTCACTTGGAAATCCATTATTTTGTTTTATCATTGCTTATAAAAAATGTATCTGATAAGATTGAAGGTTTTTGCCAAAGATTGACGTCAGGGTTATCTATCTTTAATTTCCAGAATCAAACTTCTCTTTTTAAAAAAAAAATCATTGTTTCAGCCTGATTACATAAAGATGATTACTAATGTTTCTGTGGTATCGGCAGGAACTTTAGTGCCCTGGAATGTAATTATATTTAGCACTCAATCTTTAATCTCTTTTTTTTTTTTGGCTAGGCAGTGGGGTTAAGTGACTTGCCCAGTGTTGCACAGCTAGTAAGTGTCAAGTGTCTGAGGACCGGATTTGAACTCAGGTCCTCCTGACTCTAGGGATGGTGCTTTATCTATTGCCCCACCTAGCTGCCCCTTTAATCCCATTTTAAGAAGCAAGGTGAAGTTTTTATTATCTCCTTGCATATGTTGGACATCACATTGCACTGGTTAACAGTATTTGGTCCACCTTTTCAAAATTGTTCATCTCTTTTCTTGGGAGAGAAGGCAAGATAAAAAAATTAGTATAAAGCAGTTTTCTTTTTCCCAAGACAAAGAACAGTGGAGATTGATATTTTTTTCTTTCTTTCAGAATTCCTTAGTCAGGAGACCAGCTGTGAAATAATGGAGTCAACTCCAAAGCAGGGCATTTCTCTGGACAAATCATCCAAGGAAAGAGCTGAGACAGATGATCCTTGGGATTACAATTTGGGAGACGCTTGGGAATATGATGTCAGAGTAGAGCAAAAGAAGTACAACCAGGAAAGACGACCCAGGCAAGAGACAGTCATGGACAGGAAAACTTCTACTAAATTTAGTGCCCATGAATATAATATATTTGGAAGAAGTTTCAGTTTGAGGTCAATCCTTTTTCTGCAACAGGGTGTTCACATGGGGAAAATCTACAGCAATGTGGTACATATGAAAAGAACTTTAAGCAGTCTTTAGAAACATGATAGATATTTTTTTTCTCAGGAGGAAGATTTGTAAATGTAATATAATCAGGAAGTCAGTTTACTCTTCAGAGGACCTTATTCAGTTTCAGAGAATGAACACTAAGGAAAACATATGACTGTAATAAATGTGGCAAACTCTTCAGAGATAGAAAAGCCCATAAAAATCATCATAGAATCCATACTGAAGAGAAATCTCTTGATAGGCATCAATCTGGAAAGTGTGTTAGCAGGAGGAAATCCCTTACTCAATATAAAATAATAGATAAACAAGAGAAAAACGCTTTGAAAATAATGAAGGTGGCAAAGTCTTCAGTCAAAAGTTTTAATCTTACTGTACATCAGAGAATACATAGAGGAGAAAAACTCTTTGAATGTAGTGAATGGGGGAAAGCCTTCAGACAAAGTTCTTACCATATTATACATCAGAAAATTCATACTGCAGAGAAATCCTTTAAATGTAATGAATGTGGGAAAACCTTCAGGCAAAATACTTACGTTACTGCACGTCAGAGAATTCATACCGGAGAGAAACCCTTTGAATATAATCGATGTGGAAATCTTTCATCCAGAAGGGAGACCTTACTCAACATAAGAATTCATACTGCATAGAAATTCTTTTAGTTTAATGAATTTGGGAACTCATTTACTCATCAGGTAAACATTATTGAACATAAGAGAGTTCATACGGGAACAAAGAAATCCTTTGTAAGTAATTGGTGTGGGAAAACTTTTAGTGAAAGTTTGTACCTTACTGTACATCAGAGAATTAATATAGAAGATAAACCCTTTGAATGTAATCACTGTGGGAAATCATTCACCCAAAAAAGGAAACCTTACTGAACATAAGAGAATTCATACAGGAGACAAATCTTATGCATGTAAGGAATGTGAAAAATCTTTTAGCTGGAGCAGCTTATTTATTGTATGTACTGGAGAGAGAGCCTTTGACTGTAATGAATGTAGCGAATCCTTTACCTGGCATACACAGCTTACTGAACATAAGCGAATTCATACTGGAGCAAAGAAACTCTCTGAATGTAATGAATGGGAGAATTCCTTTGGCTAGAGAAGTGCCTTTACTGTGCATCAGAGAATTCATACTGGAATGAAACCACTTGTGTGTAATGAATGTGGGGAATTCTTTACCTGGTATACATAGCTTACTGAGCATAAGAGAATGCATAGCGGAGAGAATTCACTCTGGAAAGAAACCTTTGGAATGAATGAATGTGGGAAGTACTTTCACAGGGACAAATGTCTTACTAAACATAAGAGGGGTCATCCTGGAGAGAAACCCTTTGAATGTAATCAGTGTGGGAAATCCTTCACCCAAAGATCTAACCTTATTCAGCTGAGTATACATCTTTCTGAGCACAAGAGTAAACAGGTGAAATTTTTTAATATAATTACAGAATCACAGGATTTGAGATTGGAAGGGATGTGTAGAATGCTCTAATCTGCTCAGTTCATAAAAGGAATCCCTCTATAATTTACCCAACAGGTGGTTATCCTTCCTCTGCTTGAAGGTCCTCAAGAAGGGTGAATCCGTTACCTCTTGCAGTAGCCCATTCCATTTCGGGGATGACTCCAAGTGTTAGGAGTCTTTTCCTGATGTCAAGACTAAATTAGCCTCTTTGAAGCTTCCCTTCATTGCTCCTGATTTTGTCTTCTGAGATCAAACAAAACAAGTCTGTTCTTCATCCTCATAACAGCCCTTCAGATATTTGGAGTTTGTTCCCATGAATCTTCTTTTATTCAGGACAGATATGCCCATTTAGTTCAGTTGAACCACATATGACAAGAACTCAAGGCCCCTTCACCATCTTTGTTGCCCTCAGGGCACTCACGTTTATCAAGTTTCTTAAATTGTCGTCCCCAGAACTGAACACGTTTTCCCCTGTGAGATCTGATGTTCACAGAATAGTCAGACTGTCACCTCATTATTCCTAGAAGCTAAACTTCTTTAAATGTAGCCCAAGATTGCATTAGTTTTTTTGGCTGCCACAGCACACTGCTAGTTTGAATTGACGTTATATTCCACCAATACGCCTAAATCTTTTTCATAACTATGACTTTTTAACTTTTCTTCTCCATCTTGTACTTGTGGAATTGTGGGTAGTTTTGTACCCAAGTATAAGACTTTAATTTATGCCTACAATTTTCTTTTCTAAGTAGATTTAGTCCAGTGCTCTAGCATGACATCATTTTCTAATCTTGAGTCTGTCATCCAATGAATTAGCTGTCCTTCCCCAGCTTTGTCTCATCTGTACCTTTGAAGAACATATCACCTGTGCCTTTAAGTCATTAATAAAAACAGTTAAACAGCTCAGGGCAAAGCATAGCTCTCAGGGATATTCCATAGGAGATGTCTTACCATGTTGTCGTTGGAACTACTCTTGAGTCAAACCGCTTAACCAGTTCTGAATACATCCATTTATTTTATAATCTAATACATATTTCACCATCTTTTCCACAAGAAAAATGATGAGATAGTTTGTGAAAAGTTTCATTAAAATTTAGGTAAAATATACCCACACTATCCCCATCATGGTGACTAGTTTTGTAATCTTGTGCATAATAATACCTAGCATTTATATAGGGCTTTAAGGTTTACAAAGAACGTTATGTATGTTAGCTTATCTGATTTGATCCTCACGACGGCCCTGTGTGGTAGGAAACAAGATTAGTTTAGAATGACGTGTTATTGATCAAGTCATGTTGACTTGTTTTGATTACTTTCCATACACCAACCATCACTATATTAATTCTTTCTAGAATTTTACCAGGAACTGAAGTCAAACTCTCTGACTCAAAGATTGCAGACTCTTCTGTTTTTTAAAAATTGGAATAACATTTGCCCTTCTTTAATTTTGTGGTGCCCTTCCTGTTTTACTAGCTCTTTCTAATGTTCCTTACATTGTCTTTCCAGTTATATCAGTTAGTTCTTTCAGTGTCCATAGATGTAGTTCATATGGACCAGGTGACTTGAATTCATAAGGGGCAAGTAGGTCTTGCTATCTTCTCATTCAATCTCGTTTATTAACATCTTTTTAGTAAGCCTTCCCTCCCAATTTCCAATACAAATGTCATTCTCCTTGACAGAAAATAACATAATGAATATAGGAAAGCTTGGGGAGTGTGCAGAAGAGCGCAAACATGGTCATGAGGTACCTTGAGCTCATGAGAATTGTTGAAGGATATTAGGATTTTCATCCTGGAGAACTTCTAGGGGAAGACATTTTGGACATGATAGCTGTTTGATCTCAGGTTTTCTGGAGGATGGACTCAGTCAGGGTTAGTATCGTGATATATTAGCCCAGAAAAGCAATTCAATCTTAGGTTAAATTGAAGATGTATAGTGTCCCAGAGCAGAGAGTTGATAGGTCCATTTTATTCTCGTGATTATTCTCATCATATTCATATCTTGAATATTTTAAGAAAAGCATCAGTGAACTGAAGACTTTCAAAGAAAGGCAACCAAACTGTAAAAGTGCCTCATGATCACATCATATGAGAATTAGTGAAAGAATTAGGGCTTTCATGCTGGTGAACTTCAAAGGGACCATAATAGCTATCAGGTTTCAGAAGGAGAGAGTAGACATGTTTAGCTTGACCAGAGAGAAAAGCTAGAAACAAGGTGGGGAAGTTGAGATGAATTTAGGCTTTATGTAAGGGAAGATGTTCTAATAATTACCACTATCTGAAACTGGAGCAGTCTTCCTTATGTGGGGTTGGGTTCCTGGATGAGAGAGGATTCTTGTTTAGATATATATTAACTCTATGGCCTTTCAGTTTTGAGATTGATATACTGTGTGACCAGATTATTTCTAAAAGTCATTTAAGTTCTTTATTTCTTTAAAAAATTTATAATTGTATTATTTAAATTTTTTTTATTCTAACCCGAAACTGAAAAAAAATCTACATGCAACACAGCAGCACACAAAAGTGGATTCTATGCGAAATTTTAAATCTCCATTTTATATTATTTTGCTTAAATATATATATATATATGTATATATATATGTATGTAATAAATTAAATACATTACTTTCAAAACTGTCCTACTTATTTGTGCTTCCATCTGTTCTCTTATGTACATGAAAAAAATTATAATGGCTCTTTTTTTGGTATCACCATTGCTACTCCTTCCCCTTTCTCTCATTTTCTCTTCCCAGTTAAAAACCTAGAGAAAGACAAAACAGTAACAAAACCCTTGTAACAAATAAGCCAAAACGATGAATCCATACAATTGTACAGTTGTTTGCATGTTGTCTTGCCTATTAGATTGTGAGTTCCTCAAGAGCAGGAATTGTCTGTTCCCCTTCTGTGTCTTCCCAGTTTCTGGCAAATGCCTGGCACATGGATATTTAGTAAATGTTTATTGACTGACTCAGGAGGTGGGTAACATGCTTCCTCATAGATGACCTGATTGATCATCACATTGCTCAGAGTTCTTAAATATTTCAGTTATTTTTCTTTATGTTGTCACTGTCCTAGCATAAGTTGTTCTGGTTTTGCTTACTTTTCTCTGTATTGGTTCATATCCTTATCCACCTTCTCTGAAACTGACTCTTTTTGTCATTTCTTGTATTGCAGTACATATACTCCATCCATACTCCACAGTTTGTTTAGTCTTTCCACTATTGTAAGAAGCAGTTGAAAGTACCTTGTTAGATTCTGGTCCTTTGGGGATGGAGTGTTTACTGCCTTCAGGATCAGAAAGTTGGTTTTGCTTGTGACTATTCCCTCCACTTTATTATCCTTCTTCTTAACTCTGCCTCTATCTTCTTTTATTTCTGTGCTGAATTTGATGGATTTCCATTCCAAACTCTGCGTGTATGTGTTCAACCTTCCTTTTCCATTTCAGAGTGAGGTTCATCAGATACCTACTCTCTCCTCCCCTTCCTCTATATTTATATACTCTTCTTCTTATACCCCCTAACTATGAGAAATAGCAAATGTTGAGGAAAAAAATCATTAATACCATAATCTGCTTACACAATTCTGCCAGTAACAATTTTGGTTGATTTAGCATGATTCTAAATTCAAGCATATCGAGCTTAGAGAAATGTAAAACTGACAGCACTGGTTTTTTCTCCTCCCTTCCTTGTCTTCAGACCATAAGACAATTTGAGGTAACCCTTATAATAATTTTGAACAAGGAAGAGGTCACAATATATGAAAATGCAATTATGGGGTTAACATTCTCCACCACCTAAATAGCATAGTGGATAGAGCACCGGGCCTGGGATTTTAAGGTCCTCCTGGGAGTTTCAGGATAGAGTCTTACAGATCTGTGAGGGCACCTTTCTGATACAAAACGTCTGGACCTAGAGTTTCTCAGTCTGGGTGCTGCTGGGGTGAAGCTGTGTGCTGCCTACAATGTCTACCAGTTCCTATTGGAACTTTCAAGGTCCTCCACCATGGGCTTTCTTTCCCCCCTCGCCCTTCCTCAATGGAACCTCCACTCTTGGTTCTGCTCTTAGTGTAGTTTCTAATTGGATCTCTTGTTCATTATTCAGTTTTGTGTGAATTTCAGGGTTTTGCTAGATAGATATGTAGGAGTATAGGGTCTCTCTTGAGGCAGCCATTGTGGCACGCAGTCTCTTGTAATTTTATTTGTATAAGTATTAAATGTGATTTGGCAGATTGACTCCCAGATACTTTATTCATTTTGTAGCTGTTTTCAATGGGACTTTCTGTTATTGTTTCCTGTATTTTGTTATTGCTGTATGGAAATTTTATTAATTTTTGTGGGTTAATAGCTTTACTGAAGTTATTATTTCTCTTTATTGATTCTCTGGGACTTTTTAAAGTAAACTGTCATGTCATCAGCAAATTGGGATAATTTTGTCTCACTTCCTTGCTTATCTTATTATGCTTTTAATGTCCTTTTGTCTTACTATTCTTACTAGCATTTTGAGATCTCTCACAGAGTAATACTGGGGAAAGGGGATATTCTTGCTTTGTTCCTCTATTGGGAAAACTTCCAGTATTTTCTCATTGTATATAATGATGGCTTTCAGTTTTAGGTAGATGTTTTTGATCTTATTCTTTAAAGTTCCCTCAGTACCTGTGCTTCATAGATTGTTTTTGGTGTTTTTGCGTATATGAAAGCCTTTGTCAAAGGCTTTTCCTGCATCTTTTGATAGAATCTTTAGGTTTTGGAATGCTTTTCTTTTTATCATGCCTGTGTTAATGCGTTTCCTAATGTTGAAACATCCTTTCATTCATAGAATGAATCCACCTTGATCATTGCAAATCTTCCCCCACCACCACCTTTTTCTTTTTTTTTTTCTTAGTGAAAAAGAACCAGAAAAAATGTGGATATGTATGATTGGGGATGAATAAACAAATTGAGGTAAATGACTATAATAGAATATTACT